AGTGGAGCTGAGTCTCAAAAAGATCAGCCATGATCTTATTAAATGGCAGGGCAGGCTCGAGGGGCCGGATGGCCTACTCCTGCTCCTAGTTCTTACGTCCTTATATCTTATGTCCTTAAGCTGGAGAGAGTTCAGAAAAGATTTCCCAGGATGTTGCCATGAGTAGAGGGTTTGAGTAATAAAGAGAGGTCGAATAGTCTGGGACCTTTTTCACTGGAGTGTAGAAGGCTGAGAGGTGACCTTATAGAAGTTTACAAAATAATGACGGGTATAGATAAGCTGAATGGCAGGTCACTTTTTCCCAGGGTTGGGGAGTTCAAAACCAGAAGCATATTTTTAAAGTGAGAGGAGAAAGATTTTAAAAGGACATGCATGGCCACTTGTTTACACAGAAAATTGTTAATGTGTAGAATGAACTGCCAAAGGAAGTGGTCAATATAGGTACAGTTGCAATGTTTAAAAAACATTTGGATAAGTACATGAATAGGAAAGGTTTGGAGGGTATGGCAAAATGCAGGCAGGTGGGACTAGTTTTGTTTGGGAACATGGTCGGCATGAACTAGTTGGACTGAAGGGTCTGTTTCCATGCTGTATGACTCTGTGATTCTATAAGCCACAGCTACAACAATGTTACTGCTCCAACTCTGACTCTTCAGAGATGAATTCTGTGCTGGAAATTTATGGAATAAAATCAGAAATTGCTGGAGAAACACAGCAGGTCTGGCAGCATCTGTGGAGAGAAAGCAGAGTTAATGTTTCGGGTCCAGTGACCCTTCTGATTTTAGTTCGGAAGAGGTTGCTATTTATGCTAGAGAAGGGGTGAGGGAGGAGTAAAGAGTAAACAATAGGTGGAGATGGAGGCCAGAGAGAGAGAAAAGCAGTTGGGCAGACAAAGGAATGGGTAAAGGTCAGCCTGGGAGAATGAATAGATGCTATTGGGGACCATTAGTGGCTGATAATGGGTTATTTGTGGTAGCAATCCATGTGATGACAGGGCCTGGGTTAAGGAGATGGAAGAAGGTGCTCAGGTCCTAAAATTATTGAACATGATATTGAGTCCAGAAGATTGCCGAATTCCCAAGTGGAAAATGATTCACTGTTCTTCCACCTAGTGCCAAGCTTTACTGGAGCACTACAGCGAGCGTGAGACAGAGATGTTGGACAGGGAACACAGTGGTGTGTTGAAATGGCAGGCAACTGGAAGCTCAGGGTCATTTTTGCTATGAGTTTTTTGTCTCTATGGGCTCTATCTCGACCTATCATTTACTCTTTCCCCCTACCTCCCAGCTCTTTTCTAACATTTACACCAACAATACAGCTACAACCAGTTCTGAAGAAGGGTCACTGGATCTGAAACATTCACTCTGTGGGGAAAAAAGCAGAGTTAATATTTTGTGTCTGGTGAGTCTTCATCAAAACTGCTAGCAGCTAGGAAAAGGTGGTATTTATGCTGAAGATGATGTAGAGGTGGAAGGGGAGATGTGAGTGGATAGGTGGAGGTGGAACCTAGAGGCAGAAAGAAATATGAGATGAGTAGATAAACAAGGAGATTATGGATAGCAGGTCAGGACAGAAGAAA